AGCGTGCCCGCGGCCACACCCGGCGCGGCCAGCACGCGCGCGTATCGCACGCAGGCCTCCAGCACGCCCAGGGCCACGAGGCGGTGTGCGGCGGCGGGGTGGTCGCTGCGCATGACGCCCAGCGCCAGCTCCGCCAGCGCGCCCGTGCCCGGGCGCAGGTCGGCGTCGGAGGGCGCCTCGCCCAGCTGGTACAGCAGCGCCACCGCCAGCTCCACGCCCTGCCAGGGCGCGTCGGGGGCGAACAGCACGGCCGACAGCGCGGAGCGCACGAAGGCCAGCGCGGCGGCCGGGTCCAGCCGCGCCGCGTTGCGGAACAGGGTGAACAGGTCCTGGCGCCGCTCGGCCATGGCCGCCTCCTCCTCCTCGGCCGCGGCGCGTGCGGCAGGGCCGGCCGGCGCGCCCGTGGGCACCGCCGAGTCGGCCGGGTACCGGGCCGCAGCGGCCGCCGCCTCCAGGATTGCGGGCAGGTGCGCCGCGCCGCGCGCCGGGGTCGTGGCGCCGTCGGCCCCGGCGCCCGCCTCGCCACCCCCGGCATTGCCCTTGCGCCGCGCCGCGGCGCGCACCCAGCCTACGTAGGACAGCAGGAAAGGGAGCACGGCGGCCACCACCTCCTCCCCACCGCCGCCCAGCGCGCGGAGCAGCGCGGGGAACAGTGCGTCCAGCAGGGCGCAGGCGCCGCGCGCGCTGGCCTCCGCCTCGCGCCCCGCCTCGTCGTCCACGGCCAGGCCCACCGCCGCCATCGACAGCACCGCGTTCTCGATCTTCTTGACCGCCTCCAGGATCTCGGTCGCCAGGCAGGCCAGCAACCTGTCATTGTGGATCATAATGAGGGGGAGAAGAGGGAATGGAGGTGACTGAATGTGTGGCTTACAAGTGAGGATCCTGGTGGGGGGGGGAGCACTGTGCCAGGCTCCACGAGTACCCCAACATTTTCGCAGATGGGTAAGGCAACTTCGCTTCCGCAGAGAGTCCCCACCTTCCCTGCATGCGTCAGTCCTGCTCCATTTTACCTCACCCGCACTTTCAAGGTACCACCCACCGCGCCCCCCCCCTTCTCAAGACTCCCCCACCCCCTTGGTATAACGGTATCAGCCGCCTTGCCTGGCGTATTTCGCGGCGAGCTCCGACCCGGCGTCGCCGTCTTCGGCCCCCGGCAGGCCTTCAGCCCACTTGGCGGCCTCCGGCACCACGCCCAGCTGCTGGATGAGGGCCAGCTTGGGCTCGGCCTCCATGCGCTTGCCCACGATCTCGATCAGCACGCCCGCTGCGGCGGCGCGTAGGCCCTCGTCCCGCGATCCCAGCACGCCGAAGAGCAGCGGGACGAAGCGATCGTTGGCCACCAGGCCAATGTCCACCCAGTGCACGTAGCGGGCCAGGGCACGGAGCAGCGCGGCGGCGGCGGGCGGGTCGGCCGCGTGGCTGGCGGCCAGCAGCTGCGTGGCCGCCGCCGCCACGTCGGGCAGCGCCAGGTCGCGCATGGCGTCCTTGAAGGCCATGCTGGCGCGCGCCTCGGCCGCCGAGCGCGGCACCTCCAGCGACACCACGTCCTCGTCCACCGCGACCAGCACCCGGCAGAAGAGGTCGGCGGCGGGGGGGCCAGCGGGCAGCGTCGCGATCAGGTCCTGGAAGAAGGCGGGCCAGGCGGAGGGGAACTCGCGGCAGGCCACGCCCACCAGCACCTGCGCCAGCTTGGCGCGCAGGAAGGGGGCCAGGCCGGGGTCGCCCAGCGCGGTACCCACCAGCGCCGACTTGAGCGCGTCACGCTGGTCGGGGGCCAGCTCGCCGTACCGCTCGCCCACAAGGCCGTGCAGCGTCTGCAGGCACCAAAATTTTACCTCAGCGTGGGCCGAGGAGCGAAGGTGGGCCAGGCAGAGGGCCCAGGCCTGGGGACCCGCGCGCGCGGCCTCCAGCGCGGCGCCGGCCCGGGCCGACACGTCGGCGGGGGCAGTGCCGGGCTGGGCAAAGGCGTAGAACACCGCCTTCTCGAAGTCGTCGGCCATGCGGTGGGGGGGGGGGGGGGGGGCAGTCGTAAGGGGTTGCTTAAGTGGGAGGAGTTTGCGACAAACTGATCAGGGGAGTTAAGGGTGCAGTGGGACCCAATGCCGCGGGGACAAGCCAGGGAGTGGCATTGACAGCCTGGGTAGGCAAATAAAGGCACCCCTTGGTGGGCCCCTGGCCGACATGCTAATCTCGCGCCGCACGACAACATAGAGGGCGCCGTCGACACACCTTCGAGACCTGATTCAGCTCCCGACTCCCCTCCAATGCAGTCTCTTCAGCCCAGCATCCCGCGGTGGTCCCGCGCCGGCCAGAGGACGGGGCGAGTGCAGGTGGGGGTGTGCGGCGATGATTCCAGCGGCTGTATGCCACGATCGGGAGGATTCAGCGATGCCAATCGGTTCGATGGAGCGGGAGGGAGGTGTCTGTAATGCCTCCTAGAGGAGCAAGCGGTGTCTTGACCAGGCTGCTTGGGAAGGCCCGAGACTCGTTTGCGCGCGCGAGCGGTCACGGCTGCCACGGCAAGTTGCCTCGACGGGACGATCCGCCATCCAACACGTCATGCAGACGAGTAATGTCCTGGAGTCAATCAGCATGAGCAAGGCTCAGGCATCATTTCAAGCATTGCATGAGACCAAGGGTACTGGAAATCCATTGGATCAGTTGTCAGGGAAAATGAGCCTGCACTGCTACTCACTCATGTCATACTCGTCTATGCGTGAAAGAGCACTGGGCAGGTCAGGGGCTTGTGCCAGGCATTGTGCTGCGAATGCAGCATGCTCGGAGTCGATGCGAAGCCAAAGCCTCCGGGCATGCCTGCATGCTGCTCTGGCTGACTGCAGCGCCGAGCCCACCACCTCGTCGACTCGGTCGCGCCCCACCTGCTCCACCAGTTGGGTGCCATGGAACCTGCCATGCTCCTGCCTGCCGTCCCACCACGTCGCGCGGCCGAGCCCAAAGGGCTGCCCATCAAAGGAGCCGGCAAAATCCCTGCGCCAGGCCTGGCTGGGACCCCCTCCTCCCGCGGCTGGGGGTGAGAAGACGTGCAGGCCCCTCCCCCAGACAGCCCCGTCCCGCCAGCTTCCAGCGTACCAGTCCCCTGCGCCGGTCAGCATGACGCCCAGGCCCGTGGCCAGGCCGCCGCTGCCCTGCCCGATGTAGATGGACCAGGCTGCTCCAGACTGGGGTGGCGAGGCCAGGGGGATGGAGGGGTGAGCATGAACAGAGCAGGCCCCTGCAGCATACCAGCAGCCAAGGACAGTACAGGCAGGATGAGCCTCCCTTGGCCCCTGCTCAGGTGCGCACCAGGGATCTGAAGACCACGCTGCTGTCGACGCCGTGTCCATCACTGGCCGGCCCGGGGCTCCTCAGCACCAGCACTGCCCGTCCACCTTCTGTTGAGTGCTCAACCGCCGATGCAGCGACAGGCCAAGATCCTTTCTCAAGGCTGATTTCGGGACCCGCTTCGATCTGCTGTCGGAGCTTGCGTCGCAGGGCAGACAGGGAGTTGACTCCCAGGGATTCCAGGAAGGCTGGCAGGGGTGATTGTAGAGAGGCGTGAGCGATGCCCCCATCTCTGCTCTACGTTGGGCTTGATTGCAATCGGAGGCGTATGCTTATGGTGCATTGATGGTGCATTGCGGCACCGGTCGGGCCAGAGCATCACCTGCGAGATTTGCACGCCTAGGCAGAGGAGTGTGTGTGTCCGTTCCCGGGAAACAGTAACCCGCGTCCACAGCGGCGCACTGCGCGTCTTCTAATGTGAAGGAAGGTGCTAGCAACATGTCAAGACTCGATGTGAGGTGTGGGTGCTTCAATCAGCCGGACGCTTACTCATGCAGTCAACGATCGAGTAAAACTAGTCTCCCCAGCGGAATGATGGGTGACGTGGAGCAGGATGTCCTGTCGGCTTTTTCAGCATTTCAACTATATAGGATTCTGTTCTCAATCATACACTTGAGAAACGTATAGGAGTTATAGCAAAATATCTTTATTAAAGCCGAACCGCGATAAGGTCATACCCCGGTGTTGGCCCAGGCTGCACGTTCGGTGCTCAAGCTCCCTTATTGTTACGCTTTCCGGCAGCAGCTAAGTCTGCCTGAGAGCACGCCATACAATTGTTGAGACACCGTACCGCAGGCACACCCAGAGCCCCTTGCCTCGCTTTTTTCTGCCAACATGGCGGGCCGTGTGCAGGCCCAGTGCAGTTTGAAGGGCGAGCCCATCTTCAATTTGGATCTGGAAGCTAGCGAAGGTGAGGGGGGGGGGCGGACTTTTCTCTCCTGCATGCATCTTTGAAATTGGACTCAGCGCCACCAAGTGATAATAGCCCGGTGCATCCACTTCATCACATGTTACCTTTCTCATGCTCCTGACTTCCAGTGCCCATCTCCAAACAAGTGGACATCCTCAAGTCCAAGTTGATGTCCTTCTTCACGAGTTACATGAAGTCTGAGAACATCCCTGTGACAGAGGACAGTGAGTCCCTGGCGTCAACCTGCCCATGACTAGAAGAGCCAGGAATACCCAAAGTTTGCATGCCTGGTGTTGAGCTCTGGTCGATGTCTGCCAGCATCTTGCTCAAACACCATTCCCTCTTCATGCACAGTCAACCTCATGGAGGAGGTGGACATGGGGCAGGACCCTGACTCACAGCCGCAGAAGCCAGCAGGAAGGAATGCTGGGAAGAAGCGCAAAGGCCCTAGGGTGCCCTGAAAGTTCTGTCACAGGCCTTCGATGTGGTGGATACTCAGCAATGCTGAGACGCTGTGCCAAATCTTTTGCCAGTACTCATGAAGACACGCCAGCTCCGATGAGCTGTCTTTGACAGTCACCACCTGATAATCTGGACTTGCCATGCATTACACAATCGGTGAGTATGCATTCATCAGACCCATGGTGCCAGCACCTGTACTGACAATACGCTATGGCACAGAACATGCATTTCACGAGACCATTCAAAAGGATGTCAGCAGGGATTCCCTCAGCACTTGGTCATTGCCCAGCCATCGACAAATCATGGAATCGAGGGATGGGGCACCACCAGCACCGGTGACGTGCAACTCTTGACAATGGACGCCGTCACCGAGCCCACCAGAAACTCCTGCACGGGGTAGTGCAGAATTTCCTGGAAGCTTTCATTGCCCACCCTTCACTGTCAACATTCAAGCCATCCCTCCAGTCCCCAGCAAACCCTGCTCCCCTCGACCGTACCACTACACACCTTCAGCTTGCCCTTGCTGTGCCGCGCGACCACGACCAGCTGCGCCCCCAGATCAGCGGCCTTGGCGCTCACCACCCTGGCAATGGAGTCTGTGTCAGAGGGCCCAACGATCACATGCAGCTTGAACGGCACCTGCAAGGGCCACGTCGAGTGGCGCTGAGTACAGAATTGGCTTTCAGGGCACGATGGGGGTACACTTGATGGAGGCATATGATTGGCTTCCTGGACGAACGTCCACAATGCAATGTGAATCGCTCTCCAACAAAGCCATACCTTGGCGGCCACAAGCGCCTCTGCAAAGCGATGCGACACCATGTGCTTGGTGTCCTCGATCTGTTCAAGGTGTCGTGGGGTTGAGTTGGTGGCGTGTCGGGCGGAGGGGTCGGGACCAGGAGCAACAGATCTCAGGAGTGTCCAGATCCATTTTAGCATAGGGCTTTCTGCAAAAACTGCTGGAGTTGCAAGATGCCCGATGACCCCTTCTGACCCACTCCATCTGCTCCCTTCCCCGAGGAGGCAACCCCTCCCACACCCTTCCTCGGTCACCTCCTGCAGCTCGGCAGACTCGTCCGGAGGTACGTAAACCCCGCCCCAGATGTGCACCATGGTCGGCTCAGGCACAACATGCAGCTGTTCAGAGTTTGGGAGTGGAGGATTGGAGGTCGTGCGGGCGGTCATAGAGCACAGCAGCAAGGCGGCGACTCGCATTCCATTCTGACATATACTCTGGCATGGCTCGGGGCCAGGATGCACATACCATGGAACAATACTCCTCCACACATGATCCTTATTATGAAATGGCCCCCTTACCAGATGGAAGACGTCACCATGCCGGTAAACATTCTTGGTTGCCCAGGATATCGCCACTTCGGAGTCCTGCAGGGGAGGCACGCCCGTTCAGAACTGAGCTGCAGGAACCCGACACATATTTTAACCAGCGCCTGCATGGCTACGTGACCTACATTCCCGTGGGAGCCCCGCCCCACGGCTCCATACTGCAAGTTTTGAACCCAAGACTTACATCGGTATCATCTACTGGGATGAGGATGTGCCGCTGAGCCATCGCCTCCTCCGTGCGATCGACAGACAGGATGGGGCGGTGCTGGGGAGAAGGGGCGGTGGTGGGTTGCGGAGCCTGGCCCCGATCGCCCCCCAGCCGGCTCCCGCTCGTCGTATCTTCCGTCATATCGCCAGCTTATATTTATATGTTCAACGATCCCGATCCACGCGTCGCTGCATCCCCCGAGACTTTGGTGAAACCTCCCAGCAGTGAGGACGAGAGAAGGAAAGCGCGGCCCAATCGGAATTCTCACTCTCGATCATATCTGTTTTCTACCCGAAGTGTTCTCGCGAACCCCCTCCCCTCTCCCTGCCCCGCACCCAAACTGGTGCAGTGGCTCCAAGATTGTCAGTTTGAGCACTCCTCCAGGGGGCCCAGGCACAGCCCAGTTGCCGTCCCTGTTTTGGGCGCGCCTTCTCGGCGAAGTGCCAGGGTTCATGTAAGCCCGATGCCCGCTCGCCCCTGCTCCAACTCCCCCCAATTGGTGCGTACGGTTTTTCGGGTGCAACCCGTCACCCCGGTGACCCCTCCACTTCCTCCATTCCCCGGCGTGGCCCCACTCTCCCCCCCTTCCCCCTCCTCCCCCTCCTTCCCCCCAGCACCAGCATGAGCGGCGACAGCCCCGGCACCAGTCGGGTGTCATTGGGAGACCTGACCGAGTACGACACCCTCATCCTCCCCACGGGGGACTCCCCCTCCCCGGCGCGCTCTGAGCCCCCCCCGCCGCCGCTCACGTCCCAGGACGTCTCCGCGGCGGCCGCGGCGACCATGCTGGCCTTTGCGGAGATGCCCTACTCCGCCACCGGCCAGTCCCTGCACGAGGCCGGCACGGCGGGGACCCTGGCGGGGGTGAAGCGGCCCAACCCCGAGCCCGACAGCGGGGCCGGGGCCTGGACGCCCAGGAGCCCCACCGCGCCGGCGCCGGACCCCGGCGGCCCGGCCGCCGCCAGCAGTGCAGGGGGGTTGCCTTCCGGCGCGGGGGGCACCGGCCTGGGGTCGGCCGCGCTGGAGCACTCGGGCACGGCCGGGTCGGTGGAGAGCGGGGAGCAGGGCGGCAGGAAAGCGCGGCTGGTGTGGACCCAGGAGCTGCACAACCGCTTCATCAACGCGCTGAGCCACCTGGTGAGGCTGCCGGGGGGGTGGGGCATGGGACGAGGGCTGGGGCGCGGCTGGGGCAAGGGGGTTGGACGCCGTCGTTGCAGGCGCGGGCATCCGTGGTCTCGACCTGGATGCTGTCCCAGGAGTGGGATGCAAGGCACAGGAGGGCTGGCCTGGGACCCTGTAGTCGGATGGCCGTGTGAGATCACTCGTGCGCTCGCCCCTCACCATCTCCCCTCGCCTCCGATCTCTTGCCGCACCAGGGTCTGAAGCAGGCCGTCCCGAAAAACATCCTCACCATGATGAATGTGGACGGCATGACGCGCGAGAACGTTGCCAGCCACTTGCAGGTGCGGGTCGGGGGCGGCGGAAGTTGGGAGAGGTTGCCCGGGAGGGCAGGCCGGGACTGGTCGTGCGGCCAGGGGCAACGATCGCATCCTGGGCGATCGTGCAAAGTTTCTCCTCATGGCATGGGCCTCCTGGGTGGCACTCGTCGTCGCTGCACAACGTCTGCACCCCTTGCCCCCGGCGCTCCAAGTTTTTGTAGGCGTCGTCATTCCTGATAGCCACCCATGACCTCCTCTTCTCACCCCCAACCGCCCTCCTCTCCCCCGCCTCCCGACCCCATCACCCGGTCCACCCCTCTGCGCAGAAGTACCGCCTGTACCTCAAGAAGATCGGGGGCTTCACGGACCGGGAACGCGTGGACAGCGCAGCGCTGCAGCGCATCCACGAGCAGAACGTTGCGCAGATGGCCGCGCAGCAGGCGATGCAGCAGTCTCTGGCCGCGGGCGGCGGCATGCGCTACGGCGGCCCCAGCGGCCTGCCCCCCGCCGCCGCCTATGGCTACGGCGGCCACGTCGGCGGCGCGGCAGACCCGGGCCCCCACGTCGCCCGCGCCGACGCGGTGGTGGGCCAGCCCGTCAGCGCGGCCATGTATGGCCTGGCGGGGCCCGCGGCGGGCATCCCGCCCGCCGGCCCGGCCTACGCCTACGCCGCGCCCCCCTCGGCACAGGGCTTCGAGGGCGCGGTGACCGGCGCGGTGACGGGGGCGGCGGGCGGCGCGGCCTTCTGGCACCCCGCCCTGCCCGTGCTGGCGGGGTCGGGGCCCGGCGGCGCGGGCGCGGCGCCGGCGCGCGAGCCGGGCGGCAGCGGGGGCGGGTCGCCGCAGGTCGAGGCGGGGCCGGACGCGGGCGGGGGCCAGCCCGCCCATGCCGGCCTACACCCCAGCATGTGGCCCGGGCTGTGGCCGGCCTGGAGCCGGGGGGTGCAGTTCAGCACGGCCATGCAGGAACCGGAGTGGAAGGTGGGCGAGGAGGCGCCGCACGGCGGGCCATACGGCGGGGCGGGCCAGGTGGACCCCGGCGCGGAGGCGCACGCGGCGGGCGCGCGGGAGCTGCAGACGGGTGATATGGTGTACCCGGGGGCAGAGGAGGAAAGGTCGCCCTAGGGGCTTGCCATGCTGGCTACTGGCCCGCAGGCTGCTTGAACCCCCCGGCGGCGGCGCCCCTGGGCTTGGAACCCCAGCCGCCCCCCTGCAGCACCCCACGACTACCACCCCTTCTCCCTCTGATTTCATTCCACTCGTGCGTGATAGCCCTCTGTGCGATTGACGCTGCCTGCCGACGTCGGCAGGCGTGACCGATAGGAATCCGTTGTTTACAATGTCCCACCCCGCCCGCGAGATCGAAGGCGTCGGCGCAATGACGCAGGGAGCGCGCGGACACCTTTTATTCCCCGCTTTCCTCAGATACCGAGACGTGCCCTTTGCACGTAGTCCAGCTGCCAGAATTCCTGTGCTTCGATGCTAGGCTGAAGGGGGTATAAGGAGCACTGAAACAGGAATTCAAAGGCATAGATTCACATTTGTTGGCATTGCAGAGCAATCATCGCGCAGGACGAACATCGCTCACCAAGCACGTACTGGGCATCCGGAGGCCTCCGCAAATTCCTGCAACAGGACTCGCTGATCAGTTCGCCCAAGGTCTGCGACGCTCCCTATCGGCGCTAGACTTCAACACATATTTCACTGTCACAGCCTCGGCATGCATCAGGCCTCAGGTAGGCAGCCCACCCATACCTGTCTGTCCATGAGCTCCGGTCGGCATGTACGCATGATTGTGAGTCGTCGATCTCGCAGGTCTCCAAGTCCCATACAATCACCCCCATTCGCAGTCTCCACCATGAAGACCATCCAGTCTCGGCACGCCGGTCCCATCGGACATGTGCAGTCGGGTCGCCGATCGGCGGGGCGCGCGGGATCCCGCATGGCGACCCCCGTGGCCGCAGCTACCGTCGCAGCCCCTCGCTCGGCCCTCAACCTCTCCCCCACCATCATTCGACAGGAGGTGAGAGTTACATAGGACTGCCAAGCAGTGTTGGATGTGCGGTGCTTGTTGCGCCCTTCTCGTCATGACTCATGGTCATGTCCCATGTCTCCTCGCCGTCCTGTTCCCCGCAGGTGCTCCACTCCGCCAGCGCCCAGCAACTAGACTGCGTGGCCTCCCTGGCGCCCGTCTTCGAGTCCCAGATCCTCCCCCTCCTGACGCCCGTGGACGAGATGTGGCAGCCCACCGACTTCCTCCCCGCCTCGAACTCGGAGGCATTCTTCGACCAGATCGGCGACCTGCGGGCGCGATCGGCGGCCATCCCCGACGACCTGCTGGTCTGCCTGGTGGGGGACATGATCACGGAGGAGGCCCTGCCCACCTACATGGCCATGCTGAACACCCTGGACGTCGTGCGCGATGAGACAGGGCACAGCCAGCACCCCTACGCCAAGTGGACCAGGTGCGCGCCTCGACCCCAGGGCCACGTGTGATTGCTTCGGCAGTGGACGAGGCCTGCTTCAATTACATGTTGCATCCTGCTTCCGTTCCTCACTGCTTCTACTCACTCACAAACAAGCGCCCCCCCCCCCCCCCCCACGGGCTTGGATCGCGGAGGAGAACCGCCATGGCGACCTGCTGAACAAGTACATGTGGCTGACGGGGCGGGTGGACATGCTGGCGGTGGAGCGCACCATCCAGCGCCTCATCTCATCGGGCATGGACCCGGGCACGGAGAACCACCCCTACCACGCCTTTGTGTTCACCAGCTTCCAGGAGCGCGCCACCAAGCTGAGCCACGGCTCCACCGCCCGCCTGGCGGTCGCCGCCGGGGACGAGGCCCTGGCCAAGATCTGCGGGACCATTGCGCGGGACGAGTCGCGCCACGAGGCGGCGTACACGCGGACCATGGATGCCATCTTCCAGCGCGACCCCAGCGGGGCCATGGTGGCGTTTGCGCACATGATGATGCGCAAGATCACCATGCCCGCCCACCTCATGGACGACGGCCAGCACGGCGCGCGCAACGGGGGGCGCAACTTGTTCGACGACTTTGCGGCAGTGGCGGAGCGGGCAGGGGTGTACACCGCCGGCGACTACATCGGCATCCTGCGCCACCTCATCCGGCGCTGGGACGTGGAGGGCAAGACGGGGCTGACCCCGGAGGGCCGCGCCGCCCAGGAGCTGCTCTGCTCTCTGCCCGCGCGGTTCGAGAAGCTGGCGCAGCGCAAGGCCAAGAAGGCGGAGGCCGCGCCGCCCGCGGCCGTGGAGTTCTCCTGGATCTTCAACAGGCCCGTGTATGCCTGAGTGGCGCCCAGGAACAATAACCCCCGCTGTCAGCTCTGTACCAATTTCTGATATCTCATGATGAACCATGTACACTATAACTTATTCAGCATCAAGTTTGCCTGGTTACAGAGGGCGCCAGGAGCCGAGTTTTGAGGGAGCCATCTTCTGGTCTGCCCCCTGCCACGTGGACTGCAGCGACAACCCTACAAACATGATTGTAAGTCGTATACAGCAGCAACACTCCCACCACGCAAGGTGCACTTTTATTCAATGGAAACCATTCAGCGATCGGCGCAAGTTGGTTCTCCCTGCAGCTCCCTCCGGGTGCCCTATCGCAAAACCCTCCGCTGGTCCTGATGCTGCGCGCTGTGGCACGTTCCAAAGATGCGCACAGCGAGGCCTGGCGACAAGCGGCGTATCTGCTGCACACATCGGTGACGGCATCAGACTCATCCCTCAACATCTTCGATGGGTGCGTGGGTCTGCAGGGGCGCCGGCATTCATGAGGCTGTTTTTCCCCGAGACATCCACATAACCCTGGCCTCTGATGGAGGCGGACCGAGGATGTCTCTTTGTTCCATCCAGGGAGCTCAAGGCTCGTCACAGGGATCGAGCTGCGAGGTATGACCCCGGCCCCGATCCTCTCCTGGTGCGTGGGAATGAGGGCACGGTGTGCATGGTCTTCATGGTGGTTACCTAATGCAACAAAGCATGTACAAGCAAGAGGACCCCCCCGGCGGCCCTCCCACGGCTCCCTCTCCACTTCTTCCATCCCAGGATGAGGTGGCAGACAGGCTGCTGGACCGGCTCAAGGACTGCACTCGGGCTTTCGAGTCGGTGCTGGTGCTGGGAGGGGCCGGCCGTCAGGTCGCGGAGCGCCTGGAGCGGGAGGCGCCCGGCACCCGCCACGTGACCCATGTGGACACGTCGCAGGCCATGCTGGACGCACTGGCCAGGCTGCATGCCGCGAGCGCGCGGTCCACGCCCCAGACATATGTGCACTGGACCGACACCCGGAATGAGACCCTGCCGGTGGCTCCTGGGACATACGATGGTGAGCGGGTGGGGAGGCTGCGGAGGGCACACCTGTGTTGGGATGCCAGTCCAGAAAGGAAGGGCATGCAACGTGGGGCAGGTCGAGCCGTCCAGTCACGCCCGCCCTTTTCCCCTCTGCCACAGCTGTCGTTGCCTGCCTGGGACTCCACTGGATCAACGATGTTCCCGTGAGATGACGGTGGTGGAATCTATGGTTTTGAGCTCTCTGGGTGGCCCTTTGCTGTCTTGACAAGAGCTGCCAGAGTCTTTTGAGGGGGCTGGTCTGTGCGTGTACCACAGTTTGGTTGCTCCTGAAGTGCTTCAGCAAGGACGGGAGGTATGGGTGCCTGGTTTTGCTCCCCCGGAGATCTTTCCGTCTTATCCAGTGCAACGTGTACCCTCCGTGCCCCGGGCAACCACACGAGCGATTGTGACGCATCGCCTGCACCATGGAGGCACAGCAATGTCTGACCCGGGCAGCCCACCCTGCGTGCTCGCATCAGGCTGGCATGCACCGCAGTCAGACGAGGGACTTCTGAACAACCACAGCTCCCGGAGACCCCGGGTTGTCGGCTACAGTTGCTCTGCCCAACATTTCGTCAGACCCTGGCCTTGACACCGGCCAACCATTTCGTTCTTGTACCATTTTTCAAGACTCTCATCCACCGGCCGCACCACCCCCACATCACGATAGCTCCTTGTTGCCAACGAGTCCCCCACCTCCTTCATCTCCAGGGGGTCCTGACTCAGTGCAGGCATGCCCTGAAACCAGACGGGCTCTTCCTGGGCGCCATGCTGGGCGGCACCACGCTGCAGGAGCTGCGCATTGCCTGCACCCTGGCGCAGCAGGAGCGGGAGGGGGGGGTGGCGCCGCGCCTATCCCCCCTGGCGCAGGTCCGCGACGCCGGCAACCTGCTGACGCGGGCGGGCCTCACCATCCCCGCCGTGGATGTGGACGACATCCAAGTCCAATACCGGTGCGGCTGGGTGGTTAGTTGGGGGACCGGAGGGAACAGGGGTGCAGGACGCATCTTTTGCCCTGCAACCACTCCGCTTGAAGCCTTTGCGGGCCCTGCCAAATGAAAAGAGCGGTGTTCCAGCCAACTGGAAGAAGAGCTGGCTCTCTCACCAGCCCCCGCAGGGACGCCATGCAGCTGGTGCGGCACCTTCGCCAGCTGGCCGAGACCAATGCGCTGACTCAGCGCCGGGCCTTCCTGCCCCGGGACTCCGCCCTGGCCACCGCGGCCATCTACTCCTCCCTGTTTGGGAAGGAGGGGGAGCCCGAGCAGGGCATACCAGCCACCTTTCAGGCAAGGGTGGGTCTTTGTGGTGCTATGGAGATGGGTGTAGGTTGGGGAGGGCATGAGGTGGTGTCCAGTTTCCGATCACAGGTCTCCAGTCCAGCTGGGCTGGCCTCTATGCAGGAATCTACTGCTTGCTTCTATCGCCACCCTGCCAGGCCTGCATGCAGCCAGATTTGAGCTCCTGAAGGAAGCGACGGTCCAAAACAAGGCCAAGGTCATGCAACCCTCCCTCCACAATCCTGCCGCAGGCCATCTACCTGACGGGCTGGGCGCCAGACCCTTCTCAGAGGGGCCCTGCACGACGAGGGACTGCCACTGTATCTTTTGGGGACCTCCAGAAAGACCTGGGCGCAGGACCTCAGGCCGCTGACGAGTCCCAGAAGCCTGGCACCATATAGTATGTGAGAACAACACTCTAGGTCTCGTTTCCTTTATCAACTCACAGTGCTGCCATTGTCGTGGTATTAGGACTAGGACAATGGCATGCCACCGTCTGTGGTATGGGCAAGGATCCTGCCGCAGCGTGATGCCAGATCACCCCAGAACTCTCAAAAGGGGGTCTGAATGCAGTTGTACAGACAGTCCACAAGTACAAGTGAGAGGGGCGTCGGCATGAGCATGCTGTGATCAATGCCGCCGCATCATTTCTTCTTTAACGCGCGCTGCAGCAGGGGCTGGATGAACTGCGCCTCCACCTGCAGGATGCGAGCGGGTGCGGGTGGTCGGTTTGGCTACATGTTTGATGAGCTGTTCAGTGAGCCGCCACCCTTCAGCGTGCAGTACGGCGGTTCCACCTACTAGCCGGAGGAATGGGCCGTCTTCCAAATCAGACCACCTTCACGAGCGCAGAACAGCCATGACACCAGGTTGGTATTCCCTCTTTCCACCCCCACTTCTCGTACCTTGTCGTCGTACTGCGCTGCCTCGCGCAGGACGTCGATGGCGGCGCCCACCTCGCCCAGGCCTTGGTGCACGGAGGCTTGGGCCACCAGGGCCCGCGCCTTCAGATCGTCCGTCTGTTCCGCGTGGTGGGTGGGTGCTTTGGAGTGATCACGACAAGGGATCGAGGGCTGGCCCAGCAGCAACCCCTTGGCCTGCGGGAGTGCAGCAAACAGCACCTCGCCATACAGTCACCCAATCCATGATGAGACCCCCACCACGTGCCGACCTGTGCAGTCTGGACGGTCTGCGCAAACATGGGGAGGGCCCGCTCCGGCTCTCCCTGCATCTTCGCGGCCACGCCCGCCCCGAACCAGGAGCGGGCGACGAGTTGTGGATCCTGTGGGATGTTGGGGTGGGAGTCGGTAAAACGCGACCAGCAATGCAGACCAAGCGTCTGAAATGACAGGGACCATGTGTGCAAGGGAGGGAGGTCCGCCGTGCATCTGCTGGCACCTGCCCACTGCATCTACACCATCTGCACAACGAAAGGAGGAGTCCAAAGCGCTCAGGCACCGTCAGCAGACCCCTCTCACCTCGTGCCACTGGGCGGCAGCGGCGTACCACCGCTCCGACTCGTCCCACGCTTTCCTCGTGGCGCTGATCTGGCCCAGGGCGAACGCGGCACTGGGCTGCCGCGGCGCCAGCTCCAGCACCCGGAGCAGGACCTCGCGCGCCGCGCGCGGCTGGCGCGCGGCGACCAGCTCGGCGGCGCGCTCGAACAGCTTTCCCTCGTCCCCGGACTGGGCCTCCACCAGCACCCGGCGCAGGCCCAGGGAGAGCTGGCCCCTGGCCGCCGGCTGTGGCCTGCCCTCCAGCGTCTTGGGCTTGGGGGTTGCGGCCATCGCGGCCGTCGCGGCGGCCGGCGCCCTCTGCGTGCCGTGGCCCGGCTCCAGCCCCAGCGCCCGCCTGGCGGCCGGCGAGGAGCGGAGCAGCTTGCCTTGTAGCAGCGTGATGCCGCTGCTGGTCAGCCAGTAGCACAGGGCGGCTGCGTGGTTAGGAGTTTGAGGGTGGAGGTGGTGAGGGGGCAGTGTTTGGATTCGTGAGGCGAGGGGGGCCAAGAGTGTGTGGAGCGACGAGGGATCCTTGGAATGAACAAGGGGCTGGCCGCTGCCTCCCGCCCAGCTGTCATTTTCAAGCCAGGCGGTACGACATCAGCAGAGAATACCTGCTTCCCCCATATCTCTTGGAACACTAGCCCCCCCAAACCCCCTAAATCTTGTGCTCACCCTGGGGCACTTGCAGGGCGATGATGAACAGGGGCACCAGGCCGATGTCGATGGCCAGCCGGACGTAGGGCAGCGCAAAGCGCGCCAGCGCCGCGCGGTCGTCGCCCTGCCCGGCCTTGCCCCCGGGCACGCGCAGCGCCGCGTCCAGGACGCTGGAGATGGAGAGGATGATCGCGGCGGGGAGCACCAGGCCCAGGGAGCCCATGGGCGCCGCCACGCTGCCGAGCTCCAGCGCTGGCAGGGTGAGATCAGTGAACCAGGCCAGACCTCCCACCTCCAGGCCAGGCCAGTGCGTGGCGGCCAGGCCACGTGCCGTGGCCATGCCCGCCACGAAGAAGGGGACCTGGAGCAGCGGGGCGCCCAGCACCCAGCCGGGGTGGGGCAGGCCTGCCGCCAGCCGCAGACGGTCGAGGTGGTGCACGACCAGGGGGAGGGGCGGGCCTTTCCGGGGGATGTCCTGGGGCGTGGCCTCGCCGTCCTCTGCCCCTGGCTCTCGGTCTGACTTGATGCTTTCCGCTGCGCCGCGTCGCCCAGAGCCCGACGTGCCCGGCTTTCCCGTCAGCCGGCCCGCCCCGCCAGGCGCCCCCTCGCTGTCCACCCCAGGGACGCGTCGCCCGCCCCCGCCCGCCTCCCACTGGCGCCTCGCCGCGGCCTGGGCCTCGGGCAGCAGGCTCAGCGCGCCACCCGCGCGCATGCCCTTGAGGGCCACCGGGAACATGACGCCCCGCACGCTCACCGCCAGCAAGGAAAGAGTGGCCCACCAGGGCAGGCCCAGCGTGGAGTGCACCGCATCCAGCCCCGCCATGCAGGCGTGCAGGGGGCCCCAGGGCTCGGCTGCGGCGCTGGAGGAGGTGCTGGCCACCGATAGGGCGTCGCTGGCCGCCTCCAATGCGCTGCTGCCCGTCTCCAGGCTGGGGTCGGGCGGCAGGCTGCCGCTGGACAGCCAGCGGAGGGATGCACGGGACACCCGCTCGCTCGAGACGTGCCTGTGGTCGAATGCGATCGGTGCAATAATGCCAATACATGGACATCTGGAAGTTCTGGACGAGTTAAAAGCAAAGAAATACAGCGACGAGCGGGTACCGGTCTGCATGCACGTCAACAATCGCGCACCCTCGCCACACACCCACAGCACCTGCTGCGCGCTGCTCGGACAGCAGCGCGACAGAGCATGATCTAGCGCTCTGTGCGAGCTTGAACCTGTCGCATCGCTCCACCAGTGATCTACATGGTCTTGGAGCGGGTCGCCTTGCGGTTCATCGACTGGCCCATGCACGCTGTACTTGATTTGGCCGTGCTGGGCGCGCTGTGTCGGCGAGTGCCCTCTCGAGGGTGGGTCCTCCAATCAATGCTCGAAATCGCGCATGCTGCAGTGCATTACATCGACCCAAGTAAGGAATTCGTCTGTTAGGAGATACGACCCACGGCATAGGGATTTACACAAGCTGCTGCACATCTGGCCGACAGTGCAGCCCATGGCTTCGCCTTGCCTGACGGCATGCCATCGGGTACAGGCCAGCCACAGCACCTCACGCCATAGAACCATGACACCGCATTTGTTTGCTCCCCACTCTGTCCCTGCACACGCGCCAGCGCGGCGCTGCTCCGGTCGCCGGGTCGCTGCCCAGGGCGCGACGGTGGAGGCCGTGACGGGGCTGGACCCCTCCCTCACTCCCCTCATTGAGGCCGCCCTGGACGACTGCCTGACCGAGACGTCTCTCGACCTGCCTGGCACACACTATGTGGTGGGTCGGGTAGGGGAGAGGGTGCAGGCAGGCTGGAGGGGTCCTGCCTTACTGTATGAGGTACAGTACCCCTGCTCACCGGTCGGTCTGCGCTGTCCTCCTCTGGACACCCCTCCCACCTCCTCATCACCCCCTCCGCCCATCCCACGCCATCCATCCAGGGCAAGGTGCGTGACACATACGACCTGGGCGACCGGCTGCTGATCGTGACCACTGACCGCCAGTCGGCCTTCGACCGCATCCTGGCCTCCGTCCCCTTCAAGGGCCAGGTCCTGAACCAGACCAGCGCCTGGTGGATGCAGGCCACGCGCCACATCGTGCCCAACGCCCTGCTCTCCCTCCCCGACCCCAACGCGGCGCTGATGACCAAGTGCGAGGTGTTCCCTGTCGAGTTCGTGTGCCGCGGCTTCATGACCGGCAGCACCGACACCTCCCTCTGGACGCACTACGCGGCGGGGGAGCGCACCTACTGCGGCAACACCTTCCGCGACGGCCTGGCCAAGAACGCGCGCCTGGCGCAGTGCGTCATCACCCCCACCACCAAGGCCGCCACCCATGACGTCCCCATCACGCCGCGGGAGATCGTGGAGCAGGGGCTCATGAGCCAGGTCAGTGAGTTTGTGTGGGTGTGGGTGTGTTGGGTATGGGTGTGTGCCTGGGCTGCTTTGCCTGGACTCCACCTGAACAGGAACTCTATACCGGTCATCTTCCTGGTCCCTGGTGTGCTCGCTCAAGGATCGGCTGTGTTGCTGGATGCCTGCACCTTCATGATGAACCAACCTCCCTTACCTGACATACAGTACCAACCCCAGAGCGTCCTTCCCATCCCCTCCCGCCAAACATCACCCCCCCCACCCTTTCTACCCCAGGCTGACTGGGACACTGCGAGCACCGCCGCCCTGGAGCTCTTCAGGTTCGGGCAGGCGGAGGCCGCCAAGCGCGGCCTGCTCCTGGTGGACACCAAGTACGAGTTTGGAAAGGACGGCGCGGGCACCATCCGGCTGGTGGACGAGATCCACACCCCGGACTCCAGCCGGTACTGGCTGGCCGGGAGCTACGAGGCGCGGCACGCGGCGGGCCAGGAGCCGGAGAACGTGGACAAGGAGTTCCTGCGGCTCTGGTTCCGGGGGGCCTGCGACCCCTACAACGACCCCGTGCTCCCCGCCGCGCCGGCGGAGCTGGTGGTGGAGCTGTCCAGGCGGTACATCCTGCTGTACCAGACCATCACGGGGCGTCGCTTCGAGGTGCCGGAGGGAGGGCGCCCCCTGCACGAGCGCCTGGCCGCCAACGTGGCGGCTGCAGGGCTTTGATGCGGCTGGGGCAGGAGCTGTGGGACCCGGGGCCCCCCAGAGTGGTGGGTTGCTAGGTTGCTCCCGTCTGACTGCCCTCGTGCACAGTGCCACGTCGTGGGATGCATGGAAATGACATGGACCTTTGATGGCAGCAGTCTGTACAACGTCAAGTAACAATGATAGAGGAATCCCGACGATGTGGATATATCGCATTGCAGAGATTTCCCCCTCAGGTCGCTTCCGCTGCAAGTCAGGCTTTCCTCACGCAGCAGACGCAGGCGCCGCCCTCGCCGTCTCGCCAGCGACAAAGTGCTCGAGGCGGGCACGCAGGGCGCCCAGATTCTCTGCGTCTTGCAGGGTGCTCGAGAAGAGTGCCGTCTGGGGTCCCCTTGCCGTGTCCCCACGCCCGCCGCCCTGCACCTCTGCTGCCGTGCGCCCGTCCAGCGCGCCCTCCTTCCGCGCCCGCAGCGCCTCGGCGAGCCTCTCGCGCTCCCCCTCCGGCCAGCAGCCCGGGTCGTACCACTCAGGTGGCAGCCCCACCTGCGCACGGGCCCCGGCCTCAAAGGGGCCGCGCAGTACGTCGGGGCACAGCGTGCATATCGTGGCGCGGAAGGCATGGCCTGGGTCTGCTCCCAGCGCGGCGCACACGCCCCTGAACCACACCACGCCTGGAGGTTTGGAGGGCGGGGAGGGGTGGCGAGCGGGAGCCTGAAGCGGTGCATCGTCGATCGGTGTTCCGCTCTGCGCCTCCGCAGGCACAATGCTCGCAGGCAGGCCTGGGGGGCCTCGGAGCCGTGGCCAGATGCGCATACACATCTGCGCACAAGTGGGGCAGAGCACCTCCCCACGCAACGAGCACGGCGACCGACCATCCCCTTCTGACCCACCCACGGCGACGTGCGCGGTCTCTTCCTGCGCGATGCGTCGCACGATGGCGGCGCTGCGGGCGTCCCCCAGCCCCACCAGACGGTCCACCAGGCGTGGCCCCGCATCCAGGCCCCTCGCCTCCTGGGACATGGGCACGACGGCCAGCCTGGATCCCACGTCCCCTGCAGCATGGCGAGCGGCCTGGGCCCGCCTGAAGCGGGTCGTCCATGCCGCTCGGAAGGGTCACGGGCACAGAGCGCTTGGTCTCCTCCCCGCCACGGTCCCCCTTCCTCGACCGGCATCCACCCACCTGTCTGCATGCTCTGGTCCCTGTGTGACCCCACCTCCTCGTCCGTCACCTGCTCCCCACGACCACCCCACCGCCACACAAGGCACCCACCTGCACTGGCCTGTGCGCCCTCCCACAGCACGCTGTGCGCGGGCATGTCGCCATAGGCGTGGCCCAGCTCCCCCAGGCGCTGCAGGCACCAGAGCAGGTGGCGCGACTCGTCGTCCGCCACGCGCGCAAAGTCGAGGAAGAAAGCGCGGGGTAGGGGGGCGGCGGCGAAGCGCGCCACCGTGTCCCAGGCCAGGTCCACCGCGTTCAGCTCCACGTGGGCCAGGCTGTGCAGCATGTAGGCGGGCAGGGGAAGGCGCGAGGCCTTGGCGGTGGGGACCTGCTTCGGCGCCACCAGCTGGAAGGCAGGAGGTGTGTGGGGAGGTGTGTGGGGAGGAGAAGGGGTACCTGTTCATGCATGTGATGGGTAGGCCTGCACGGAGGGGAGGATGTCAAGCAAAGCCACTGGATCCAGCTGAGGGCCTTGGTGCAGGTACCAGGTGGGTGCCGATGGGGGCGTTACGCCGCCCACTGTTGATGGGGCAGCACTCGACCCCCTTCCCATGCCGACCTGGGGACGTGGAGGCCGGGCTGGGAAGGGCGGGGGCGCGGCGGCGGGCTCGCCACCCACAGGCAGCGAGCCGTTGCTGACGGCGTGCCAAGCAGCGTGCGTCAGCGCCGCCTTCTGCGCAGGGTCGGGGGTCTGGAGCACCGCCACTGCGGCGTCGGCCAGGCATCGCCAGCGACACTCCGGGGCGGGTGTGCCAGGGGTAATTGGCACGCTCTGCGGACCCTTTCGCCCCCAGCCGCGCAGCTCATTCACGCCAGACTGGCGCCAAGGCTCCAGGCCAGGCCACACCGTCGGGCGGGCGTCCCCATGCTCACAGTGGAGGCGCGGTGGTGGGTGCCTGGCGCCATGCAGTGGGCCCCAGAGCCTCACGTTGAATCTTGTAAGTCGGCAGGCCTGGCTCGGCGCCAGCATGCAATCAATCGCGCCAGTCTACTCCTTCTGTGCTCGGGGATATGCGTTCTGAGCGGGTGCTGGACAGAGTGCCCACCCCCTAACACTCGCCGCACGCTTCTCGGATTCACTCACGGGAGGCATTGATACATCCCATGCGATAGTTATATTATTCCGATTGCTAAGGGCACCCGAGACCAGCTCCAGTGGTCTTATGCTGAAAACCGTGTTGCCATGCGGGATCAATCCGACCTTGAAGTGATGACGCGGATGCCGGAGTGCCCTCCGAGATGCAACACTCCTTAGCTCTGACAATAGGGCCAACATTGTCATTAATATTTTCACAAACGATCCATCAACACATGGTCAAGCGGAAGAGGCAGCGGGTGGACACGAGCCAGAGTCCTGAGGCCGGAGAAGCAGGGATCCTATCGGTGGTGGTCAGCAAGGTCGAGGCGGACCCTGCTGCCCCAGAGGCTCCCCAGGAAGCTGTGCTCGTCGAGGAGGATGTACCAGACACATGCCTGTGTCCCCTGTGCCAGGAGATCCTGTGCCACCCCCTGATCACCGCATGTGGACATCGATATTGCAGCTTCTGCTTCCACAGACTCTTTGCCGTGCCCCGACCCGGGGACGCGGGCAGAGCCAGGGAGAGCCGTTCACGCGACTGCCCAATGTGCAGGTCGAGACTTGTCGGCTGTGGGGTCTGAAGGACCTCCTTCATGATCCTGCTTGGCTGCCTCCATGCTGGCCTAACACTGGCAGGGCAGACTCGACTACCGGCGGCGCTGGGGCCTTTCTCAGATCTCACCATCCATCCCTTTCTCACAGGCAGCCCACCTCCCTCCAGTCTGGCACGCATGCCCTTGCCGATGAGGAGCGTCTGCGCAAGGACTACCCAATCGCTTACGCCGCACGGGAGCTGGCCATCTCCCGGGAGGAAGCAGACCTGGCCGAGCGGGGGGTGCAGTACCTCGTCCTTCGCTTTGGGAACCGGCACACCCTCATACCCAGGGTAGGGTGCAGGACAGAAGGGGCAGGGAGGGCCTGGTCTTGCCACGGCAGCGCCACAGCCATGCCAGATGGTGATTTCCTTGGGCCGCTGTGCCACCCAGGGCCACGTACCTTGCCAAGGCCCCCCACACCTTCATGCCCAGGCACGCAAGAACAAGCACGAGTGGGAATTCTTTGTGGGCCTGGATGGCGGGGAGGAGACGCGCTTCATAGACCACGTGGAGGTGCGGCTGCACCAGGCCTACCGCCCCAGCTCGCTCCGCCTGGAGCAGCCGCCCTTCATGACTCGGTGGGTGTCCAGGGATCACGCTGACCTGGCAGTTTGGCTTGACAGTGCAGAGCTGCCTCACTGGGGCTGTGCTAGAGGCAGTGTGGGGGGTCCCCTGGCTCTGGTGCCTAGGTCCGAGAATCATGTGGAGTGCAGGCGGCGCGTGCCTGGCAGCTTGTGGCCAGGCAGGCATGATGCCAGAGCTAGGACCAATGTGGGCTCTGTTCGATGTGCATCCCCATGTGCACCCTGTATGCTTGCCAAGCTGTCGCATTCCGGCCTCGCTTTCCACAGCCATCGGACCAGCACGGGGTCTGAGGTGAGGGCCCTGGTCACGTTCAGGAGCGAGTACCAGCGGCCCCCCCTCTGGCTCGTGTGGTCGCTGGACCTCCAGGGGAACGGCAGCAGCCAGACCCTGGAGTTTGAGCTGCAGAAAGGAGGACTGCCCAGCAACCACGACCTGGAGACAGGTGGGAGGGTAGTAGAGTGAGCAAAGGACGTCTGCTGTTGGTCGGATGCACATGGACAGTGTGGCGTGCGAGCAGCACATGGGGTGGCAAGGCGTCGCCCCTGTGTGCTGAACGCCAAACCCCTGCTCGCTGAAAGCCCGCGCGTCACATCCCCCGCCTTTCATTCGTGACGAGGCAGGCGCGGCCGTGGTGCCGAGCGACTGGTGGGAGTCGAGGGGGAGCATGCTGAGCATGCTGGGGACGGAGGACTGGCAGGCCGCACTGCTGGGGCTGATGTGGCAGTCTGGTCGGTGGTCGGGCCCGGGCGAGGCGAGCGAGGTGAGGTGTTTGGTGGGGAGGGGAATCGGCTGGAAAGTATGCTGAATGGCTCAAAGCTGTGGGAGGGGCCCTTGCTGTGCACCCGTGGAGGGGAGGGTGCTGGGGGAGCAGCGCACAAGCCCCCGTCAGGGGAAGTTGCAGGCAGGCCTGGTCATCGCAAGATCATGGACGCCACCCCTCCACAGGATGACTCGTGGACACCGGGGGAGGGGGAGGAGGGGGAGGAGAGCGACGCCGACTGGAATGCAGGTGTCGATGAGGAGGGGGAGGAGGACTAGTGCACAGCAGTCCCCCCCCCCCCTTCGTGTGTGCATTTCCTGAGCACTGAGGCTGGGACCCGGACCCATGTACAGGCGGCCCTCCATGCATGCATCTCCCGTGCACTGCGCATCCCAGCGTCTGGGCATGTACTTCTCCTGTTAGGCTGTTTCGTAGGTGTGCACCATATTGCTCCAGTGTACCGAGGCCCTGTAACATAGCGCATCGTGAGTGTGGCATTGATTCTGGGAGGACCTGATTGTGAAGGAATGCCTGAATGGGGGAGTTCCGAGGGATATGGGCACGGACTGTGACCTCGACTTCACTTTATGATCCTCACCCATGTCAATGCTCAGGCTTGGAGTCAGGGGACTGCGTTGCCAAGCTCCCAAGCGCACCGTGGTGGCCATGGCCAGTCCTCGCCTGAGGGCCATGCCCGCCAGGGAGGTCAAGAACCTGCTCCAGAGGTGCGTGGTGAACCCGGCCTACTAAGCCAGAGTTGTTGAATGATCATGATGGTGCCACATCGAGTTCCCAAGTACACCCCATCCCTGCATGCAGTGAGGCTGGAGCCGGGGTTGTGGTCCTTGACGTCAGAGACTACGACTTCGAGGGAGGGCACATCCGGGGCTGCATCAATCGCCCCGCCGCCAGCTTTGACAAGGACGCCGATGTCGACAAGTTCATTGACACCGAGCTTGGGCCTGGTGTGAAGACCGTGGTCGTACATTGCGCCCTGTCGCAGGTGCGAGGACCCTATACAGCCCAAAGGTACGAAGGAGGGCCGAGGGGTTGATAGGTACTGGAAACGTGGACCGAGAGGGCTGAAGGGCTCCTACGGAGACACCTGCGCAAAAGCCAGCCCTTGCCTTCTCGCAGGCTGCTTTCCAGGATACAGAAGCGGTCGGCGGTTGGCTCTCAATCTCCCGAGGTCGTGGTCATGAGCAGGGGTTGGCTGGGAGCTGCGCAGATCATGGCAGAGGATGAGGACCTCACATGCACCTGCCAAGATGCCAGCTGCTACAGGCAGCATGCAGTGCAGATGTTGGGAGGTGAGGACGACGCCAACATTCTTTAGGTCCTGCTTACTGTTCACCTTGTACCTCAGCACCACCCAGCTCAAGCCTTATTCCTGCTAGAATGAATCCACCCATTGGAATCCAGCATCGCAGAGTCTGTGTATCCCCCTTATACAATAAGCCTCATGCTCTTGATGTCCAGTTTGTCAGTCCTATATTGGCCATTGCCCTCTTTGGTCGATGTTGCTGAAGGTGTGTATATGAACAATCTTAATGGGTTTCAGAGCTACCAAGCATGCACAGAACATTAACAGGTACGTTCCACAGCCTGGAACATCAACTCCCTAGGCCTTGACGAGGCTGACTGATGGGCTGCTGCTTGTCAGAGGCTGGGGAAGTGGGCCGACGACATACTTGCCTTGCCCACCGTAGGATGCCTTGAACTGCAGGATGTCGGCTGCAACCACGATGGTGTCCCCAGCATCCACCACGGTTCCTAGAGGTGGGCAGGGTGGAGGGCGAGTATGTGTCGCAAGGTTGATGTGAGTTGGTGTCAAGGTGCGGTTTTCCCCATCACGCCCGACAAACCATGCGCACTCCTGGTTTTCACGAGCTGCTCACCTGGTCGGAAGGTGAAGTCCACATCCCCAGTCAGAGCCCAGCCAGACACATCTACAGCCTCTGCCCCAGGATTCGTCAGCTCCAACCAGCTCCCGGCATCCGTGTGGGCCTGACCGATGGTCAGCCCAGCGCCGGCCGCCTGTGCACCTGCACAGAGGGTAGGGAGGGCTGAGGTTGCAGCAGGCGTGCGTGCTCTGAGGCGTGCATTGCCAGCGACAGCACAAAGGCACGGGACACTTGCGGCAGCCCATGGTCCCACACGCCGCATGCATTCCTGCTGATCTTCCGCTCAACAGCTGCAGACTGCCTGGACCTTGCATCCCACATCGTCTAGCTCCACCCCTGAGCACCGCCTCCCAACCCCAAGCACTGATCAGCAAGCACATGGCAACAGGTTCGTACCTGGGATGAAGGGATGATCGCCGCCGGGGCCGTAGACATCGTACAGTTGCTGCTTCCGCAGTGGCAGCTGCTCCTTGATGAGTTGCCTGGCGGGAGGGTGGTGGGGAGCAGGTTGGGTGACTGTGCAACCCCTAGAGCGAGTTGGCATACACACGGGCAGCCATTTCTTCTTTGGACTCCATCAAGCAGCCCACCCTCCTCTACTGCACCCTGAGCCCAGCACGGGATTTTCAGAATGTCAAACCCCCAAGAGCCCCACAACCAAGACCCATCACTGGCCGCTCACTGGTATCCGGTGTCTGGGTTGCCGGAGTTGCCCCACTTTGCGTTGTCTCGGATTGCCTCCTCCCTGATCTGCGTGTGCAGCGTCGTCACAATCCCCGCCAGCCTGCCACCGGTGAACTCGTCCATCAGCGTGCGCAGGCGGCGCATGTACATGGCCCTCGTCCTCGGCAAGGAAAGTACGGCATCAGCCAGGTAGTTGTAGCTGCCTATGGCCCCGCTGGCGGGTCGGCCTGATGAAGAAGGGAAAGGGGGAGAGCAAGAACGTGTTGGGGAGAGCTTGAGTGCAGGAGTGGGGCCCATGCATGGGTCTCTAGTGCACAGCTGAGGGAGCCGAGTCGGGCCGCAGGATTGCATCCAGGAGCCTCACTGCTGGGTCTCTCCTGGTCCGTGCAAGTTGTTGCATTGCACTCGTGTGACACTCCCACCACCCTGCCCTACACCTTCCCACACACTCCTTCGTCAAACCATGCAAACTCCCCTCGACATACCCCACCCTCTCTTCCATGCAGAAGTAAGCAACAGATGAACAAAAACCCCGCTCCCTACAACCCTACCGCTGGTGAGGTTTGCGTCGTAGTCGGAGTCCAGGTCCTGCCCCGCCCCCGTGTCCACGGTGGTGTCCTGGAACAGGCTCTGCAGCAGCTTCCTGCCCAGGCGCGGCGTGCCCAGCGCCGTCTGCAGGCTGGACAGGCGCCTGCGGCGCGAGGCCGGCGTCCCAGAGGTCGCGCCCAGGGTCACGGGCTGGCTGATACGGCCGTAGGGGGTGCTGATCACCAGGTCCTGAGTGTGGTTGCGGTCGCAGTAGAGCGGCGAGTTCCACTGCTCGCAGGCCAGGGTGCAGTAGTCGGGGGCGGGCTGCCCGCCCAGGCCGCGGTCAATGCCGAACCCCGACTCCACGTCCCAGGGCAGCATGGACCACTGGCCGCTGGAGGCGTCCAGGTAGACGTAGAAGTTCTTGGTGCAGCGGTCTTGATTCAGGATCAGGGTCTGGGCGGCCAGGTAGTTGATCACCTGGGGCAGATTTACTGCGTCAAACAGGTACTTGCTGCGCGCCACGGGGCCACCGCCGGCCAGGCCGGCGGTGAAGGCCTCCAGCGCCTGCACCGCTGCGTCCTGCTTGGACTTGGAGCTCTCCAGCTCATACACCACGGGCAGGTCCGCTGTTGGTAGGGCGTGGGAGTGTTGGGGAAGAAGGGAAAGGTGAAATGGCGCAGCACACACGTTCACCGCTCTGAAGACCTGAGGGGGCCCTCCGTACTTGGACACAGGTGTGCTCAAGACCTGGCAGAGAATGCCCAAGTGCACGGCCGGGAATATCCTACACCCAGTGCCCCCTCACACCAGGCCTGCACTGACGAGCAATCCACACCCTCGACATTCCACAACTAATGCTGCGCACTTGTCGTGACGCCAAAGCGAAGGTTGGTGCCGATGCCGGAGTTTGACTTCCAGAAGGGGCCATACCCCGAACTAGAGGTGTCAAACCCGTTTCTCTGCGGAATTTAGGAGGGGTATGATTGGTGGATGGGTTGATTGGGGGAGAGGGGCTTCCCAGCCTATGCCATGGAGGCAAATCAAATCGAGGCAGGAACCAGCAATGATTGCCCTCACCCCTTGTACTGCCTCACCTCAAGCGCATCCTTGCTCCACTCCTCCTGCAGACTGAAGCGCCCGAAGTACTTGCCATTGAAGCGCACGTGGACGTGGAAAGAGAGCAGGCTCTCGACACCCATTTGGCTGTGTGATGTTGGGGTATGGAGGGACGTGGTTGCTGCAAGTTTAGGCACGACAGATTCGTGCAGGTGGCACATCCGTGCAAGGATGGATGAATCTTGTTCTCACATATGACAACATGCCCGTCACCGCGACCTTTGACTGCCACCAACTTACTTGAAGGCCTCCCAGACCAGGGGTTCCCTTGTGAAGGTGTTGGCGCCAGGCTCAAACCAGTCTGTGAGGTAGGTAGGAAGTGGCACACGGCTTCTGGGCTTTGCCTGGGTGAAAGACACAAGCAAGACCTGCCCATCAAATCGTTGACAAAGGCCATCCCCGACTCAGAGAACCCTATACAGCCAAGGATCAAGGGCACTCTGCACCACCAAGACGCACTGCTGTTGAGTCCAAATGCGCTGACCTCGTAGTCCAGTCCCCCGAGCTTGAAGACCTACTCAGTGGTGGGAGCAGGATGTCACAAGCCATGGTGTGCGAGGATTCTGGACTCCCTCATTCAATACGCCGGCCTAGCAAATAGCTCCCGACACTAGGGGACACTCAGTCTCCCTCTTCCCCTCCCTGGCACCTTTCCATTCTCGGACTTGATCTTGATCTTGGGTTTGGGCCAACCGAGGCTCGTGGCTCCACGCCGTCTGGGTTTTGCGGCAGGCAAATGATGGTGAGAGGGTGATGTCTCATCAGGAGTGTCGCACCTCGAATTGCTTCCCCGTCGACCAATGAGCCGCTTGCACATCTTCTCCGCACCTGATGGAGACGTTGTCGTAAAAAGTGCCGTTGAACCACACGGAGCAACCGGTTACATCGCCCTTGCCGCCTGGCACTGCGATGGCATTGGAGGAGGGACCCGTGCTGAAGGGGGCCCTGTCGTTCTCCGAGTACCTGGGTGGAGGGGGGGCAGTGCATTGTTGGTCATGCTGCATGACCGTGGCAGGGCTCTTGTCATCACAAACAGCACACTGGCCTCGATGCTTGGGCACAGCACCTCTCTCACACATTCAAACACCTGCCCCATGAGGTTCCCATACATGCATGGCACAGACTACCCCATCCAAACGGATTCTAATTAGGACCACCCCGGATCCCAAGTGCACCCCCCCCTTGCACCAGACTCACAACTCCAGGATGGGCAGGCTGGCAGAGTCGGTCGGGTCTGCCACGATGGTCCCAAAGTACTGCACCGCGCCGTTGGAGTCCTTGGCCGGCACCACGGTGTTGCGGCCGCCCGCGTCGGTGGCCGTCACGTACCAGCGCACCAGCTGCCCGGCAGCTGCCTCAGCCGCCGGGATGTCGGCGGTGTAGGTGCCGCCCGTCGCCGCCATGTCCACGCTGACGGGGGAGCCGTAGCCGATCACGTAGGTGAGTGTGGCCCCGGCCACTGTCGCCTGCTGGGGAGTGACCACGGCCGAGATGGGGATTGCGGAGCCGCCGTTTGGGCGGGGGGCTGGATCCTCGGTCACCCTGCACACGGCGCAATGGAAAGGGGAGGGGAGGGGTGTATCAGTGTAGGTTGCATTCGTCTGTGCAGCGCTGTGGATGACATGGTTTTGGGCGCTGTTGCCGGAGCAGGGAGGCGTCCCTGACCTATGTGGGCACGAGTCATCCCAGCAGCCATCCGCAGCGCTTGAGCTGGCAGGTGAGTCCATCGAGTACCCAGCCCACCCAGCCACCCACCGTGCGACCACTGGCCCCGTGTCGGCAGCCCCAGAGTTTGCCGAGGTGGGGGTCGGCTGGGAGAGGTACACCAGGCGGGATGTGCCCGAGGGCCCATCCAGAGCCTGGACGTCGCCCTCGGCCACACCGTAAGCCTGGTCATCGGCCAGTTCGGGCAGGTCCCAGCTCCCGATGCTCGCCCCGGACGCATCCAGGAGGCTCAGGCCCTGGCTGGAGCCGGACAGCTTGATGCCGGCGTGCACCTCGCTCCCAGACACTGCAGAGGAGTTGGTGGCGGCGCAGATGGGATGAAGGGCGAGTCTGGGGATGTCCAGTGCATGGCTTGCTGGGAGGACTATACTCCTTGCATCTTTGTGGAATCATCCTCTCTGGTGTTTGGGGGCCAGATGCGTGAGCGGACGACAAGTATCGATTGCCTGCGCATGGAATCCCTCTCCAAGGAGTGAGAACCTCATGCCACATCCAGCCTTTGCACCCTCACCTGTGTCCAGACCATCGGCGAGGATGAGCAGGTACCCATTCCCGGGCACGGAGACTCCGGCAGGAAAGGTCCATGCCGACGCCTTGCCGCTCGCCTTGCTGACCGTCAGCTGGTACCCCTGTGCGTGTCACGTGGGGCACAGGGCGTGATGTGCTGGATCTGCACATGTTACAGCGTTTATACTCATGGCCCTGAGGCGATCAGCACGCATTCACCTTTACATCCCTTCCCCGTATTCTTGCCTGGAGGTTCACTGGACTGCCTGCCGTGTTGTACAGCTCGACCCACGAGGGTGAGTCCCCATTGGCGTCTGTGAAGCTATTCTTGTTGGTCAGCACGACCTCATTGATCCGCACCTGGGGTACAAAGGAGGTATTTGCTCATATATATCTACACTCAGAATCGGGCAGTCTCGTCTCGAATGGCACCAACGACTGTGCTGCGGTACGATGAGTACACACCTGGCTCGACGCGGTGCTGGGTGTCGGGGAAGGAGCATCACCCACGACCAGCTGGATTCCTGCGGGTTTAAATGGTAAATTAAGACATTGTATATCTACCAAGGAAGATTGGACGTAATGCCCAGCAACCCGTGGGGTTGTCGCGTTCCCGTCCGCCCCTCCCCGCCCGGGCCCATGCAGTTGACGCGCCTGGGGACTGGCATGTGCTAGGCCGGAGCATTGCCAGTGTACAAAGGAGCGCGAGCCATGGTAGCTCCCTGCATCCCATAATGATGTTTTAAGGAGCCTCCCGCCTGCAACGAGGCCCCCAGCGTGTCGATGGGCTCGTGACCACGGCGGGGTCAGGGCTGTCCGGAGGGCGGTCGCGGTGTGAGCTAACTCTGGCAAGACGAGACAAGTTTCTTGCAGCCTTTATATCCAACTCTGCCCGGGATTCGAGCCGTTGTCATTACATTTCTCGCATGTAACGGTGCTGTCACTTTCCCAAGCAGCTCCGATCGCCCGGGTTGTCGCGTCCTGCACTCAGTCTACACAGGACCGTCCGATATGCGCTTCCCGGGTCGAACTCTGAGCAAAGGACGTACAAAATACAGAATGACAGCCTGGTAATATGGTGAGCTCGCCCACCTCGGACTCTTTGATGCTCTTAAAGTGTACCTTTCGAGGCTGTTTCTGACCAGAAAAGGCGTGTCGGGCTTTACATCAGTGCGACGCAGATCTAGCCTAGTGCGGCATCAGAGGTACAGGAACCGGGACGGAGGTCCAGGGAGTAGGATGTCTGAATGGTGTATGGCTGTTGCAAAAACAGTGAGGGGCATGGGTTGCGGCTGTCAGAGATATCCAGCTCTGCACCTCAGCCTACCAGGGAGTCCCCTCCCGCGCTCTGCACGCTCACGCTTGCGGCCGGTCCCTGGATGGACCCCGAGAAGGGGCCCACCACATACAGGCCCGCGCCGCCCTTGGCCTTGACAAAAGCTCCGACGTCGGCTGCCACATGCACCGAGTCCCCTGCCGCGACGGTGGTGCCTGTGGGTTTGAAGGGTGGAGAACGACCGTGAGGGGATAGCCGGGGTGGTGGGAACCTGGGCGGCCACAGAGATGGGTGACGATGCTTGCTCCTGGTCCCTGGCTTCAAGCTCCCAAGCGATACCATTTCCTCACCTTTAGCAAAAGTGAACTCCGCCGCCCCGCTGAGCTTGGCGTCGGAAAGGTCGATGGCAAAGTCGTTAGGGTTGACCAGCTCCACGTACCCGCCGGCGTCGCCACTCACAGAGCCCAGGTTCAGGCGGTAGCTGGAAGGCTGAGCATCTGCCGATTGGAAAGGATCCAAGATGGAGGTTGGAGCTTGAAAACCTTGTGCTGGTGCAGAGGTGGTGAGAACACACAGGTGCAATGAGGGGTGACTGGGAAGACAGTTGATCGGAGTGATAGCAACGCATACGGCTTTTAGTGGCCTGAGACTCTCCTCCTCACCCCCCACGCTTTCTATTCCGTGCTGCACATGCGACGCACCTGGGATGAGGGGAATGGGGCCGTCCACACCGAAAGTGTTGTAAAGCTGTTGCTTGCGAATGGGGAGCTGCTCCGTCGTGAGCGACCTGGCGGGAGTCGAGATGATTGGGAGAGGCTCGGCATTGGGGCCAAGGGACGTGCATGCTGAGATTGAATGGCGCTGCAATGCTGAAGCAGGCCCAGCATCACAGCACCGAAGTCACCCCACCACACGCAAAACACCAGAGGTCCTGCTCCCCCGCGACTCACTGGTATCCGCGCAGCGGGGTCCCTGGGTTGCCCCACTTGGCGTTGTCCCTGGTGGCCTCCTCCTTGACCTGCTCGTAGAAGCTGGTCACCAGCCCCTCCAGCCTGCCGTTGGTGAACTCGTCCATGAGCGAGCGCAGGCGGCGCATGTACATGCTCCGCGTACGTGGGAAGGAAAGCACGGCGTCCAGCATGTAGTTGTACGTCCCGTTTGCGCCCGTGGGCGGGGTGCCTGTTCAGGTTTGGGACGGGGGTTGGAAGTGTTCCAGATCGATGTGAAGATTCCACAGCAAGCCATCCATGGCTCGACACAGCAGCCTGCCGCGTGAGAGGCGACCCAGCCATCTGTCATCTGCCTCCGCCCTTTACCCAGCCACCCTGTTCCAGAGCCCCCCAACCCCCCAGGCTCACCCAGGAGGGTCTGGTCGTCCTGGGCGTTGGCCGGCACAGTGGAGTTGAGCGGCAGCTTGAGCCCCACCTCCGCAGCGCCATTGGGAGCGATCTCGGCCAGCGCGCCGCCAGAGGCAGCCGCCGCCTGCAGCAGCTGCCTGTCGACAACGTCGGAGCGGAGCAGGCGCCTGCCGGCAGTGCTCACCCCGGAGCTGGTGCCCAGGCTGTAGTTGGAGAGGATGAGTGTCCAGGGCGTGGACACGGTGAGGTCCTGCACGTGGTTGCGGTCGCAGTAGAGCGGCGAGTTCCACTGGTCGCAGGCCAGGATGCAGTAGTCGGGAGCGGGGACGCCGCCCAGGCCGCGGTCGATGCCGAACCCCGACTCCACGTCCCAGGGCAGCATGGACCACTGGCCGCTGGGTCGGTCGCGGTACACAAAGTAGTTTTTGGTGCAGCGATCCTGGTTCAGGATCAGGGTCTGGGCGGCCATGTAGTTGATGACCTGGGGCAGCAGGGGGAGGGAGGTGGGAAGGGGGTTTAGGTGCTGCAACACACGCATGCATTGGGTGGGGGGTCAGCGAGCAGGCTCTATGCACAGCTGGACACCCAGTGGGGCCTGGTGGCTTGAGCAACCTGGCACCAGACCACCACCGAGGACCCCAGCAGGTAGTACTCGATGGCATGCACGCCTGCCTGGAGGGAAGCTCCGTCCCCCTTGCCCCCTACCACACTGCGCCTGCCTCACCTTTGGGAGGTTCAGGCCATCAAAGAGGTAGTTCTCCCTCTCCTTGGACCCCGCCCCGGCCAGGCCCCGCGTCAGCTCGAGGAGGAGAGCCGACTCGTCCGCCTTGGGCTCATCCTGGCCCCAGTAGAAGGGCACCTGGTCTGCAGGTGCATTTGGGGAGAGGGGGCCAAGGGGAAGTTCAGGACAGCAATGCGGTCGAGGCGCAAGCAGGGTGCAGCAGGTTTCTGAAGGGATATTGGAGTATGACACTGTCCCCAACGTGCAGCATCCCTGGTGGTCCACTATGGTCATCCCCAACCCCAGCGGGGAGGGCACAGGAGCCCCCCCCCCCCACCAACGTCCCAACGAACCCAAAATACCTGAAGCATGCTGCGCCTCCCCCCCCCCCCCCCCAAAACCCCACCCTTGGGCAGGTCCCAGCGCAGGTTGCTGTACTCCCCACTTTCTGATTTGAATAGGGAGCCAATGTCACTGGTGTCGTAGCCGTTGCGCTTCAGCGACTCGGGAGTCCAGTCCTCCACGTAGATGAAGCGGCCAAAGTAGGCGCCGTTGAAGCGGACATGGGACTGGTACGACTCCAGGTAGTCCACTCCCATCTCCCTGCAGGAGACGATGGGGCAGTATATGTGACTCAGGATTGGTGACGGCATAGTGGTCCGGCACGGGGGAGATGTTGGCTCTTGAAACGTGTAAGTGCACCGGAGCAATACCATTTGCCCATCACCAGTGACGCCTTCCCACTCACTGGAACGTCTTCCAGACCAACGGCTCCCGCGTAAAGGTGTTCTCCCCTGGCTCCGCCCAGTCTGAGAGAGGGATTTGCAAGGCTCAGGGCTGATGTACGATGCGATGCCCCTGCTGTGACAGGGATATGCCGGGATGCATGGACACCGTGTGCAAGCACTCAGGGCAAGGACCCCCGACATTGCAGCTCCTGCCAAAAGCTGGCACTCACTTGCGCTGAGGGAGAAGCTCTTCACCTTGTAGCCCGCTGAGGTGGCAAAGACCTGGTGCCAAGGGGTATGAGACCAGGTGTGAGGAGTTTGTGATTGCGCTCGCACACCTACAAGCAGACGTGCAGGGGGTGCCACATCTGGACCTGGAAGCCACCGGCCAATGTCAATGGTCCATCAGAGTGAGCCTATCATCCCTGTGCAGTACGGTCCCGGTCATCCTCAGGCAAGCTTCCTGCACCTCACCTTTCCTTGGTTTCCCGCCGACACCCTCATCTTGGGTTTGGGCCAAGCCAGGGACGTGGATCCCTTGCGCCTGCGAGTACACAGGTTCCATGTTGTGAAGAAGAGTTGTGCAGTTGAGCTGACACACCATGGGGAAACCCACACTGGTCAAGTGGCAGGGCAAGAATTCTTTGGCTGGAGGCCAAATCTGTCGCTCACAGCCGCTGAGGAACATGTTGCCGCTGCCTCCACGAGGTGGGGCCCGTCTCCATTGGGAAAAACAACCCTGCCAGGCCTGCAGCACACTGGCGTCAGCCCAGGCGTCCATTCGCACCTGAGCGAGACATTGTCGTAGTAGGTCCCGTTGAACCAGAGGGAGCAGCCATCGACGTAGCCCTTGCCGCCCGTGAGGGCCTGGCCCCCGCTCTCGGGCCCGGTGCTCCAGGGCGCGTTGGCATCCGCACAGAAGCTGCGCAGGTTTATGTGGCCAGGGGTGGAGACGATGCGAGGAGCAGGATTTTGGCAGAGACACTCAGAGACGGGAGGCTCCTCGGAAAGGCTGACTGGGCACCAGGTGGGAATCGCAGTCCTGCCTCAGCAGGACAATACTCACGCGACACCCCCCCTGTCACCCCCCAACACCTTTGGCTTGCAAACAAGCGACAAAGGCACCCATCAGGCTCCCTCCCAATTCCCATCTTTTGCCCCCGGCCTCACAGCTCAAAGATGGGGAGGGAGGTGGAGTCCGACGTGTCCGCCACGATGGTCCCAAAGTTCTGTGGGTCAGTGGTTTCGGGCGGGGCCGGATCCCGCCCCTCGTTCCCGGCCTCATCCCTGACCACGACGTGCCACCTGACCAGCGTGCCGGCCGCGGCGGCCGATGCGGGGATGCTGCCGGCGTAAACACTTGACCCTGGGGACTGGGCCCTCATGGGCACCACCACCTCCTTGCCATAGTTGATGGTGTACACCAGGTCCACCCCCGCGATGGGCGACTGGCTGGGGAAGGCGCTGGTCTGGATGGCGATGGCGCTGGAGCCGTCGGGGCGGGGGCTTGGATCCCGAGTCGTCCTGTGGTGTTGTGGGGGACAGGGTGGGGGAGCAGAATGCTTGATCTCGGCTTACTGGCTGCAATCCTTCAACAGATCCAACGGAGACCTGACCCTCCCTGGGATCCCCAGCGTCCTGTTCTTCCGGAGAAGGAGCACGTTTGAGGCCAGAATCGCGCGAGTTTGGGTCCCTCACTCCCCAAAGCCAGCTGCATCCCCTCACCCCGCGGCACTGGGCGATCCGGTGCGTGCTGCAGAGTTGGTCGCCCCGGGGGTGGGGCTGGCCAAGATGGCGTACTGGGCCGCTGCAGCCCCGGAGGAGGCCTGCACTGTCTGACCAGACCCGACCACCCCGAAGCTGACGTCGGTGGGCGTGCTGTGAGAGGGATGGGAAGAAGGATGGGAGGGTGGCGCCCTGGTGGCCAGGCAGCCGATTGCATGCGGGCCAGGCACAGGCAGCGCACGAGGAGATGACGCCGACACCCTGGCGAGACAGGAGTGCCCCTGCACCACCCCCTCCTCGCGCACGTGGGGTAGGGCACCGCCGACACCACGTTGCCGCTGGCGTCCGACAAGGAAAGCGCAGCGTCCTGGGCCCCGATCTTGAAGCTGGCATGCACCTCTGCGTCACCTGTGCGACGGTGGAGGGCGTGCCCAGGTCATGAGAGCCCAGGACTGGAAGCAGGGAGGCCAGCGGCCCATCTACCCAGAGGTGGACCATGCCTGCCCTGCTGCACAACTGTGCACTTTGACCCGATGCGAGGAACAACACCTCCGCTTGCAATGTCTATGCCTCCACATTCCAGTCTCACCAGACTTTGAGCCCTTTCCACTCGCAAATATGAGCTGGTAGCCCCCCGCCGGAATGGAAACCCCGCTCGGGATGGTCCAGCTGTTCTCGCCGTCGCTCAAGACATACCCCTGCAGATGTCAGAGGAAGGCCTGATTGCAAAGGGCAAACAACATTGCAGCCTTGCAGAACCAGGGACACATCACTTCCCAAGGGAATCCCCATTGGTGGCAGCCAGGAGTTCAAAAATGCAACAAAGCCTGTGGACACCCCCCCCCACCCACCCCGAGATCCTCGGTGGAAGACCCGGTGTTACGCAGCTCCAGCCAATCAGAGGCCTTGCCAGAGGAGTCCTTCAGGCCGGCAGTGTTGCTTGCCAGGATCTCATTGATCAGCACCTGCCATGTGGGCAGAGCGGGGAGGTAGTGAGCACTAAAGCCCGGGAGCGTGATTCCCCGCATGCCGAGGAACGGCAGCTTGGACTCCGCATGCATGCAATCTCGGGCCATTGCTTCAACATTAGGCACTTTGGACTGAGTTTCCTCCCCTTTAAGACCCTCCAACAGATGCTTACAGGTCCGGTGGCCACAAGGGACACAGCGCTGGAGTTGCCTGCAGTTGGCGGAAGGAGGGGGGGTGGGATGAAACGCCCTATAGAGAGCCCCTACGCGAGTCTGCGCATGCAAGACTAGCACTGCTGGCCAGCAAAATGTAGCAGAGAGGAGGCCAGGGGCATGCAGCCCTTGGAGACGCACCCTGAGCGCGCGCGCCGGGAACCGTACACGCGGCGAATGCCAATGACAGGGCCACAGCTAGGCGCCAGTATGGGCCCGAGGTAAGGGCCATGGTCATCTAATGATAGCAGCAATGGCCAGAGGAACGGCGAAGCCCTTGCGGGGCACCAATGAGGAATCACCGGGAGCGTGCCGCAGGAGGACCGCCCCAGCCGAGGCGACGAAGGTATAAAGGGATACCTTTGCACCTGGCTTGGCTATAGATGATTTGGTTCTTTCTGGGGAGACAGGGTCCATATTCCAATAACGAGCGATCCGGGTCGGTACCTGGGGTTGCAGCCTCGGCCCTGCCCATGGAGGGGAGCTTCTCTCACGTGGTCGGGTCTTCCTAGGGGGAGAAACTAAAACTCCAGCTGCACCCATCAGAACAGAGACATCAGTGCAGTACGGCAGATCTAATGATAAAATTCATGCTAATTCCTTTCGAAGGTCCACGTGAGAGCGATCTCAAGTGGACCCAGGCGCTTCACAGCTGTCTCAGCGCATCCCTGTTTGGCCGGGGGTGGACTTCAGGGAACGTCCATTGAGATGCTTTCTCCCCAAGAATCTAGATAGCTCTATCAAGTTCATCATTATGCATAGCTTAAATTGACTGACATCCTCATGAATTCCCGCCGAGTGGGGAAGCTCCTCGTCCTGGGCCATATTCACACGGGTAGCACAGGCAGTCTGTTGCCCGTGTATGCTCATTTTATAGACCTGAAGACTCCTTCATGGAAGCGTGCTGAGTCATGGCTCACTTGATCGCGATGTTTCGCTCAATTGGGTGATGGTCGTGCGATACCATTCGCGGAGCGTTTCTAGAAAGCACGCCACTCCGCGCATACAGCGCGTAAAACCGACGACGGGACACAACCACAACCTCACACGCAGGGTTTACCAGTGAGTTTCCATATAAATTAATTCCAGATGTCGACCGACAACAGAACACAGCTCCAGACGGCCTGCGCCAACGGTCAGGACATCCTACGTGAGGTGACAGCCCGCGACCGGTCCAACGACGCCCGCCCCCTGAATGTCTTCCGCTCGCCCCTGAGACCTTTCTGGATCGAGCAGTCCGATTCTATCCTGTTCTACCGAGCCCGGAAAACAGGCTGCCTCATCTCCCGCACCCAAGGAGAGGGCTTCCTGATTCACAGGTGAGGCACGGTCGGTCGGCCGAGACCGCCCCGGGCGCGGCACTCGGGCTGGGCAGTCCCTTGCTCCCCTTCCTCCGACGCGGATTGCTCGATGCGACTCAGACCGGGCTTCACCTCGGCGCATCACCTCACAGCCTCCGTCCATCTTCGCATCCCCACCCTGTCCTCCAGGCTGCCCACGGACCACCCCTCCCTCTTCCGCTGGAGTGCCCCCTGCTTCGTCAAGCTGAGCACCACCGGGTTCGGCCTGGGCTTTGGTCGGGTGCACTCCGCCTCCTTCACGGTGTGCATGAACTCCAGGGTGCGTGACACGCTGGAGGAGCACCGCCGGCGCAAGTTCTCGGGCCTGGACGCGCTGGTGGTGTGCGGCAGCCGGATCATGGACCAGGCCGACTTCATCTCCGCCCCCGCCACCTCCTACGCCACCGTGGGCGCGCACACCGTGACCGGCGCCTCCTTCGACCTCTCCTTCGCCTCCGGTCAGCTCATGGTGGATGGCGAGGCCAACGCCGCCGCCTACGGCCTCGACGCAAGCGCGACCTCCATCCTGGAGGGCAAGGTGGATGTCCCCGCCGAGATGCAGCCACTATATGGCGAGCTGGCGGAGATTGTGCACAGCGTGGAAAGGGTGTCGGCCGCGCCCTCCCTCACCAGGAGCAGCCTGGACCGGGCCACGCTGGGTGAGTTTGAAGTGCTGGAGGTTGATCGGTGGGATTTTGGAAAGGGGGGAAGGGGGGGGGAGGACTTCAGCCTGTCCCAGGTCACATCTGCTTGGAGCCTGTGCTGCCACCCTGATAATCTGACAGCCACATTTTTGGTGAAGCTTTGGCCTGCTGCGTTGGCATGCACCGCCTGGTTCTACTCCCTCAGCATTCACAGCCCTGGACTCCCCCTCGCTCTGCAGGGCATGACCCCAACCAGGGCGTGGTCTTGGACGACGGCACGGTGATACGCGAGGCCTGATACGATTGCGAATGAGCGCCCAGAGCGTGATCCTCGAGCGATGCTTCCGTGACGTGTGTCCCAAGGCCACACTCAATGCACGACCCCACCTTTCTTCCACCTGCTCCTGCATTGAAGTGTTGACATTTCATCCTCTGTCAATCTCGTGTGTGCCCCTTGTAAACCTGCCTGAATCCTGGTCTAGGGGGGAGCAGTAGAATTCTTCAGTGCAGATGCTAAGGGATGGCGTCGCAGTTCAGGGAACCCCATTTTCGCGTGATTGATCACACCACACACCGTGATACTTTCGAAAGCGAGGCTCGGCCTTGACAGGGAACGTGTGACCGACGCCGGCTTGATGTCAGTGGTGCAGTATCCTTGAGCGAAGATGTCTTCGGAGTACAAGGCGAAGCTGTCGTCCTTGGAGCAGGCCTGTCAGGATGGCCAAGAGTACCTGTCCGCAGTCACGGCTGAGGGGTCCAGCGGCGATGCGACCCCCATCGTCGGCTCGAAAGCCCTCATGAAGCCCTTTTGGATATCGCAATGTGACTCCCTCGTCTTCTATCGGGCGCGCAAGACCGGGTGTCTCATCTCCCGCACCCACGGGTTCGGCTTCATGATACACAGGTGCGGGCTTGAAGGGAGGGGGGAGGGGGGGGAGGTGGAGAGGGGTGACAACCCTGGGGCGAGACAGAATAAACTAGTCTGGGACATTACAAGTTTTATCAGGGACGCCAGCTTGATAGAAGGACTGGCATGAAACAACCGTTCCCTGCAGATCACATTCTTGGGGGATGGCCAGAGGGAGGAGGCACATCCACCGGCACATGCCACCTCGCACTCACATACACTGCCGGCCATGCCCAAGGAGGGCTGCTTTCCTGCACAAGGCGCCTGGCGCCATGAACCACGGCTCCCACCCACGACACCCCTCCCCATCACCATGCCGCAGGCTGCCCTCCGACGACGCCGGTACCCCCCGCTGGAGCGCCCCCTGCTTCCTGCGCCTGGAGACCACGGGCCTGGGCCTGGGCTTTGGCCGCGTGCACTCCGCCTCCGTCACCGCATGCATGACGCCCAAGCTACGCGCCGAGGTGCAGCGGCGCCGCCACCGCACCTTCACCGGCATCGAGTCTGGGATCCTGTGCGGCGCGGCGACGCGCGTGCGCCGAGACTTCCTCACCTCCCCCGCGGCCTCCTACGGCACCGTGGGCTCCGGCGCCCTGCGCGGCGCCTCCTTCGACTTCTCCTACGCCATCGGCCTGCTGACCGTGGACGAAGCGGCCAACGCGGCGGCCTACGGCGGCCCCGTCGCCGCCTCGGCGCTGCTGGAGGGCAAGGTCGAGGCGCCTGCGGAGATGCAGCCCCTGTACGACCAGCTGGCGGCTGCGGCGCTGGCTACGCCGGGGCTCAGCGACGTGCAGGTTGTGGACAAGGCGGCGGGGGAGCAGGGCGACGTGGAGCAGGGCGCGCGTGAGGAGGCACCGCCGGCGCCCCGCCCGGGTGAGCTGTGTGGGTGTGGGGGTGGCCCGACGGGTGTCAGGGGGTGCTTGGGTAGGGAGGGAGGAGAGAGGGGGCTCACAGGATGAGACTCACACTCACCAGTGGCAAGAGGTCCTCATGCGGCTGGCTGGGCGTTTGCCCGATGCGCCCATCCACACCAGTCGGCACTGATCCTTCATGATGCAGAGTCAGCGCGAGAAAGCAAGGCACGCACCCCACACGCCACGCCGTGACACCCCCGCTCCCGACCCAGGCCCGCACTTCCCATCACCGACCCTTTTTCCATTTCTGCGCAGTTCCCTACTCCAGTAGAGAGGAACACAGGGACCGCGTCCTCCCCGACGGCACGTCGGCTTTCTATTCCATGCAGTACTGAGGACGGAAGCTTTAGCTCCTGCTGTCCTCGCTGCCCTGCCTGCTGCCCTCGCTGCCTGCCTGGCTTATGAACAGGAACAGCATCCAAGATTGTGTCCTCGGACAAGTTGGCTTCTTTCCTACCCCTTATGACCATTGACAAACTCAAGCCACCTGCAAGACAGATGATCAGTTCGTCCAGCTAACCAGACGCTCATCGTATTGTTGCCGCGCGCCCCAACTCCCAGCGTCAAAATTTCCGACCCACCACCTTCTGGGCCTGATGCCCCTGAATCAAACTAAGTTGTCGGTGATTATAGTTGTGTACTTTTTCGGACAACTAGCTGGGCTCACGTAAGCGTCTACTTGCCCGGGCAGGTTGCCACCTCGGAATGGCCACCTACGACACCGCACGGTCGTCGTCGTAGCAGAGCCCGCATAAGCACTTGGCTCCTCATACTCGCGCCTAAAATCATATCATGAAGGAGAAAGGATTCTTCGTTGTGTCTGCTGACCTCCCACTGAATGCGGAGAGGTACATCCTCGAGCGTGACAGCAAGGCGTTCAGAGACCTGCTCAGCCGGGTGAGCAGCGGTGATGGGAGGCCCCAGTGGCAGCAGATACCTCAGGGGAGTGCAAGCGACCCATACTATCGCCCTCTCAGACCCTTAAAATCGGCACCATGGAGTTTGTGGAGGCCTGGACCTCACCTGAGGGCTCACAGGTGGTGCGGCTGGTCACCAGCCCCGACTTTGGGGCCTGGGTGCCCAAAGCACTGCAGAGCCAGGCTAGCTTCCAGAAGCTGGAGTTTCACGATGTGCGAAGTTGGACATGCGGCAGGGCGCATGACCCTGTGGCTGGGAGACGCAGATGGGTGGGCCTCTGCCTTGCCCTGTTTGGCGCTGCTGTCGGGAGTACCCCCTCCCACCCCCCCCCCGCCTTCCACCCCAGATCATTGAGTACGCTCCCTCGGACCTCGCCAGGCCCCCCTACTCCCTGTCCGTGTGCACCGAGAGCCCCATGCTGGGGCACAAGGTGCGCAGCATGCGGAGCAGGCCTGGGAATCACGTGTGGGCCACGAGCTCCCAGCCCTGGACCTCAGCCCTTCCCCCCCCGACCTGCAGCTGGACATCCGGCTGCGCCTGACGGTGGCCCCCACCGGCCCCGACGCCTGCCGCCAGACGCTGGAGGGCCGCATCCGGGTGGGCATCTTCGGCCTGGGCCGCATCGTGGAGGGGATCGTGAAGGACCAGCTGGCCGCGACATACCGGTGAGTCAGCGCGTGACTCCCGACTCTGGGCTCGGGGGGAGGAAAGGTCATTGCCGGTCGCCGGGCCGTGCCTCTGCCTGTCGCTCTGCGGGCTGGCCGCAGCATCTGGGGCACCCATGGAGCACTCAGCAGGTCCTCGGCCCCCCTCAACCCCTCGCCCGCAGCCGGCTGCCCTCCATCGTGGGGGCCTGGTGCACCTACCGACAAAAGTGCCTGGCGGCGGGGGAGGGCTGGCGTCTTCTGGCCGGCAGGCCGCAGGTGGGCATGGGCGTGCCCTGGATGGAGGCCGCGTCGGACTCGGGCCAGACCTCCCCGCGCCCGACCTGGGAGGGAAGGAGGCCGGGGCCGACTCCCGCGACGCCCTCTACCCCCGACGCGTCGGTGCACTCCGCCTCCGTCACCCCAGCAGCCACAGAGTACATGTGAGCCGCTCTCCAGTGGGTACTTTCAGGGGTCGTGGCCTTGGCAGCGCCTGATACTGTTTGCCAGGGAAACCTCGTGCGGCTTCTGGTGCACTGCCAGCATGGAGTTTGCTACCCGCGAGGGCACGTCGGCCAGCACTCCCCACAGAGTTCAGCCTGTCACAGCACTGCAGCCGCCCTCCAAATCTCACACCCGTGCAGGGATGCGCGGGAGGGGGAATCTGAGTCCTTCAGCAGCCCTAAGCCTCGCACGGCCGATGCGCCGCGCCCTGCCTGCTTGTACAGCGGGGCCGCGGCAGGAGCCCCGCCGCCAGAGACCACGACCGGCATGGAGGGCCCGAAGCTCAGTACCCTGCCACGCTGGGTCAGGACCTGGGTCGATGCACTCGGGTTCTCCTCCGAAAGAGTCTCACCCAGATCGAAGCGGGGTCAGGGTTCTGCAGAATTTGAACAGGTCTGCAGGGTGGCTGGCGGCTTGGTGTCCATTGTCAGGGCCATATTGATGGGCAACCAAAAGCGGCCACAGCTAGCAGCATGCAATACGAGGGCTTCAAGTGGAGATCTATGCAATCACTGCATGACCTGCCTGGGGGGGCGCGGAGGTGTTTGGCCCGGCGATTTGACATCGGACTTACATTCTTGTTCAGGCTGAGTGGAGCAATTCAGCGAGGGCTGAGAGCTGGGACCGTCATGACATCTGGACCTCAGGTTTGCTTTCCCAGTTTGGAGTATCTGTGCTGCGCTGTGCTGCTGTTTCCATTCCCTGGCGCTACTCGTCATCACGTAGATGAGTTTGGCTAGCAGCCACCCCGTCGTGCACACAATCCCCTGCCCACAAGTCTCACCTGGGGCTCGTCTTGCAGGACCACTGCCGCCTGCCCTCTCGCGTGGGCCCAGCCGAGTGGCTCAAAGCATGGGGAGCATGGTTGTCGAATCCTTCAACACCGCCTCCGTCAGCTTGCTGCTCGGGCTGACAGGTCAGTGGGGATCGGGCCGTTGAGGGTGTTGTGGACAGGAGTGGATGGATGAAAGATAAGCAACTGTCGCGCCATCCTTTACGTTTGCCATGTTGCATGCGTATCCTGCACCTCCAAGTCAGAAAACATCCTCATATGACCACAGTCATGCTGCAAACTTATCTTCCCCTTACCCTGCCTCAAACTCAGGTGCTGGCATCCTGAAGATCGAACCAAACGCGTCCCAGGGCAGCAGGAGCAACCCTGCGCAACACTCCTCGACCTACCGCGGTCACAGATCGGCAGGCGACGACCGGCCGCCTGAGGCGCAGTCTGCGCTGGCCTTTGCAAAGGCGGGGGAGCTCCTTGACAACTTCTTGGAAAGGGCGTCGGGGGAGCCCCTGGACGCAACAGGGCTCGTGCGGGGCACCCATCGCCGCACCACCAGCCACGGCGGGACGCTGCTCCCGAGCAAGCTGGGAGAAGCGTCCCTGGACGAGCAACGGGTGCCTGGCCAGCTGCATGCCTCGGCAGCGAAGCAGCCTGCGGAGGGGCAAGGGAGGAAAGCGCGGCAGCAGCGCAGATTTCTGAGCCTGTGCTGTCGGGCGCCCACGCCTGCCAGTGCTTGACCTGGACAGACACCCACATTGACCCGTAAACGGCTGAGTGAGGGAGTATTTTGCTTCGTGCCTGTGTTGCAACATATTGGATTCAGGTCTTACAGAACCCATACAGCTCGTGCTTGATCTTTCCACTCTTTACAGTATACCGACAAGTTGCCTCCCTGTTGAAGGCTGCCCCTCACTCCGCCCTGCCGACCCTGACACTCTTGCAGAATACATATGAAGCAACGCTGCTGCAGTCACATAGCTGAGGCCATCACACCTGAGGATGTACTTGCGGGAGGGTTGTCCCGTGGGATCAACGGAAATGCAAACAAGCAACATTGCTGGGCTTGCATCACAGTGCAGGGGTACATTTGGCGCAAGTGACGTGAATGGCAAGCGAGTGCAGGTGGGTGTGCCTCCCTGCTGGGGTACAGAAGTGTACAGATCGGCCTTGTGAATCAGGCCCCGACGGCGTTGTCTACAGGAAGAGCCGCTGCCGCCGCGCGATGTCCTTGCGGCAGATGGGGCAGCGCTGGAGCTTCCGGCTGCACCGCCTGCACAGGCAGGTGTGGCCGCAGGGCACCAGCACCACCTGGCACTCCCGCACCATGCACACCGCGCAGTCGCGCCCCAGGCTGCAGCCGCCGCGGGTCCCTTGCGCGGCGGACTTGGTCGCGATCCCGCTGGCGGGTCCCTCGCTGTAGGGGGCGGCGGGGGGTCCGGGGGCTTGCGCGGCCGCGGCGTGCGGCGCCGCTGCAGAGTCTGGCGCCGCTGCGAGGTCTGGGCCGCCCGGGTCGGCCGTCTGAGCAGGGGGCACAGTCCGGAGGGTACCACCCTCCAGATCGTCCTGCGGGCCGGCGCTCGGGGAGCGCCTCGGGCCGTCCCCGCCCGTCCCCGGCCCCGCGTCGCTCGCCTCCAGACCCCCTCCCAGGCCCCCAGGCGCCCCCGTGTTCAGGGTATGGATGGCGGCCGCGATGCGCCGCGCCAGCTGCCCGTCCTCCGCGTCCGACGCGTCGCTGTCGGAATCCTGGGACCCCACCGACCCGGCGTCGCCGGCGTCGATGCGGATGAGCAGGGGCGCGCGGGGCGAGTCGGGGTCGCCGGCCAGCCCCGCCGCCGCGTCTGCGAGGGCGCGCGGGGCGGTGCGTTTGGCCCGTGATGGGGCGGAGTCGCACAGGACTCGGGGATGCAGGCCCACGCTGGGCGCACAGACCCCAGCGCCCCCGGGTCTGCCGGCGCGGGGACTCACCGCGGCCCCCCTCCCTCAAAACCCCACCAGCGTCACCACTCACCCACACGTTCGCCGAGGAGGTTGAGCACGTGGCCCCCCACCAGGATGAACAGGGAGGCCACGAGCAGGCCCGCCAGGACGATGAGGGTGATGGCCCAGCCGGGCACGCCGCGCCCTCGGCCGCCGCGCGCGTCGCGTGCCGAGCAGTCCGGACCGGCCCAGCCCTGGAAGCAGTCGCAGGCGCCCAGGTTGCACACGCCGCGCTCGTTGCAGTTGGCCAGGTCGTCGCACTGGGACATGGGGTGGAAGTGGCGCGACAGGCACAGCGCGCAGCAGTCAGCGGGGGCCACGGGCACCGACTGGCCCAGCGGCGTGGCGCGGCGGTCTGCGTACCCGGCCAGCAGCCTGTGGGTGTTGGTGCCGCCGCAGGACACGGAGGGGTCGGCGCCGGGATCGCCGGGGGAGCAGGCGCAGCGCTCCAGCTCCCAGGCGTCGCCGTTGGAGAGGAGGAGGGAGGGCGTGCAACAGCGTGCCGCGTTCACGGGGTAGTTAGTGTCCGCCGCGCTGAACACCTGCACCGACTCGCTGAAGCCTGCGCGGGCGGGGAAAGGGTGTGGTGGGGGGAGGGGGGTTGGGGGGAAAGGCAGGGGATCTGACTTGTAGGAAAAGATGGGCAGTCAGGGGTGTTTAAGCAAACGAATGGAGTGTACTGATGTTGTGTGCCTGAAGCCAGGGGCCAAGCGATAGGCGCGGGAGAGGGCAGAGGACGTGGCACCTGGTTGAGTCCCGTGCCGAGGCCAGGGCAGGGCACCACTGCCATCATGCAGGGGTGACCACCCTCGGGGTCCATGGCAGCACAGGGCCTGGTTGTGAGATATACAGCATGCTCCCTCTCAGCCACAGTCTGCACCTAAATGTATCCCAGGTCCGACCCTGACCC